AAAAGTAAACAAAGCCGAATGGGAGCATAAAATAAACTGTAAAATAGTAAATTTGCTCAATAATAAATTTTTCGACAAGAAACGTGGTTTTATTGTGTTAAATTGCAAAATATATGATTTATAAAATAGCGAAAATGTTAAAACGAATTCTTTAAGAGTATCGGAAATTTGCTACGATTCTTTTAGGAATCTTTAAGGAAAAACATATGAAGCGGTTGACAAGAACTAGTAAAGAAATTTCTGTACGATTTCTTAAAAAAATTGTGATACCTTTCAGAATACTCTTAAATCCTGGTATGCAGGGTATACATATACATACGAATATGAAAAGATAAAGAAGCTGTTGTTGACACAAGGAGTTCATACAAACGGTAAATGTTGTTTTTTACGATTGCTACAACCTGTAGTTATTGAATCAGGATTTGATAGGCGCATACTTTGAAAGTAGAACGGTTTTCGAGACCGACTTTTTCAGCTTTAAAAAGATAGCTATTAAAGTTTTAATATCTTCCCCCATAATGAATCGTTTCATGAGCTATTTCATCTCTGTTAGAAAAAGTTAAATAGCCTTTCGAGGAAAATAAATGTTATAAAATCGACTAAGTGACAGAGCTATAATTGATCAAAGTGTAATTTTTATAAAAATTTTTATTATTTTTAAGCATCCACCTTTCTTTTGATATTTTTTTCAACCAAATAAACTAGGGATGTACGATTAATCAATTAATGAACAAGCTGATTAAGCGAAAGCCAATTAATTAATTAATCAACGAATACTTATTTTCGACTAATCAAAATGAGTAATTTCCGATTAACTACATATTGATTAATCAGAATCTAATTAATTTGGTTAATCAGCAAACTGATTAATCATTACCTGGCTAACCAGAAATATGAGTCATTGCTGTTATATTTTATTTTACATACATATGTATGTATGCAAAAATAGAAAGGAATTTATACATATGTTCATTAGGGTGCCCCCCGAAAATGCTGTTTTTGGAAATTTTACCCACCCCTTAATTTTATTATTTTTTATGAGAAATATTATTGCCTATTTTTATAGATTTTTTCGAGGTCATTTAGAGGTCGCGACTTGTCGACTGAAGTCAGAAAAAAGGATTTTGTAGATCTATGAGTTTTGGAATGACTACTTTTGCTTCGACTTCAAAGAGCGAATATGATCTGAGAAGAGGATATATAGGCATTTAAAATGGCGTATAATAATTCATTGTCGGACTTGGCTTGTTGGAATTTTTTATCGGGTACAATAAAAAAAAACCCACATTTCTTTTAATTTTTTAAATTTTGACCATCGATTATTTTAACAATTTAAAAATATGTAGTACTATCTAAAATTAAATCTATTTTTAAACAAACTGATAGCTCATTTATTGCATTAAAATTGGCGAAGTTAGAGACTTTTCTTAAATACGGCCTTGAATTTATACCATCACTTTTTCATAGTACATACATAATCATATTTTATAGGCCCGCCGAAATGCCCATAGAATGCCAGGAAATGCTATGTAGGCATAAATAAATAATCTTTAGTTTAAAAAAAGGTTACATAAGCAATTGTTATTGGAAGTCTCCTGAAGAGAACCAGGGGTTTCCGATAGAAAAATATTGATTTTCAAGAGTTCTATACATAAAATACTGCATGGAAAACTTTGAGCTCTTTGAACGACCTCTAAGTATTTTTTGTTTTGATTTTGATTTTTTCGAAATAGAACAATCTTAGGGTGTGAGAGCATTAAAATTCAGTATTTACTTATATTGGACCACCCCAATGTACTTAAAACGGAGACACGCCACCTCTTGCTGAGCAGATGGGGCTCGTTAACTGCCTTTCACGAAAACAATGCGCTTAATAAGTTCGTTTATTTTTTAAAGTACTTCAAATTATAATCTAGGGAAAAGCATGCGAAAAAAGTTTACAGTTATATATTTCAAAGCATGAGATGAAAAATGTTTTTTAAACCTCTCATCATTCAGTATCTTTTTCAAGCTTATATTAAGTACGTTTCACCTGTGTGTAGATAAATCTTGCAATCAATTTTTAACCAACTTCCAGATGAGCTAGAGACTCGAAACTTAATCTTAGCTCAGCACCTGGGGACAATGAGATATTTGAAAAACTCGTATTTATGGACCGCAATAGTTCATATTTGCAATTAATATTAGCTACATGAAAAGGAATAAGTACACAACTTACCCGATAGGTGGTACAGGAGTTGAGATATTTGGAAACCCGTATTTATGGTGCGATTTGTTTCACATTTAGAACATATATTACTTAAATGTAAAGAAATAACTCCACAAAAAATTTAGCCGTTAGGTGGCGCGGGGGTATATTTGTTTTACTAATCACTAATAAAAGCTTGTCATTAAAATAATTGTTTTTAAATTACTTGTTTAAAATAAAAACATTTATATACTGGGAATCATCTTTAGTACACCTAAAATCGTACACATCCCAATTTGTTTTGTGGTTACAAAATCTTAACCAAGTCTGCTCACGACATCGTCATCCTTCATATAGCAATACATCTATACACATATGAAACAAATTAATAAGTATTGATAAAATAAATAGGTTGTGCATAACGCATTTACCCAAAAAATTCTGGGACACCCTAATGCACCTACATATACAATGTATGTACATGCATGCAAAAATATGTATAGATATATGAGGCCAGAAATTCTATAGTAGCCTATCTACAAAAGCAATAAAAGTTATGACAAATTATAATCAACGAATTTTATAACACGTTTTAGGTAAAACATTTTTGTTTTATTAGTGTATTATGGCTACTGTGGTTTTCATCGCTTATATGTATAAGCATACACATGCCTGGACAGGTATGTCTAGAATTGACAAAATATTTACAAAAGGGTCTAAACATATATACATTAGACTAATCGACTAAGATGCCTGTTAAAAGCGCAGCCCTTAGTATTAAGTTTAAAAGATCGCGCATCGCNCAAAAGGGTCTAAACATATATACATTAGACTAATCGACTAAGATGCCTGTAAGCGCAGCCCTTAGTATTAAGTTTAAAAGATCGCGCTCATGAATTTCTATTTTCAATATAAAGTACTTAGAAAAAAATTGTGTTCAACTTTGGAATTTGTTTCCTCGGCTATGAACTATCGAACTAAAAACAGCGATACACTTTTTTGGGGAAAATTAGCCGCTCTATAAAAACGTCTATTATCATATTTTTTACAAACCGACTGGTTTAACAGTTACTCAAACTTAAAATTAAATGTATGTCTTATTACTGTTTTTTCTCCTATTTTAGGTAAAATAATTAAATTATCGTTAAATAATGCAAATTTTTTTTTACACATATCCTGCAAATTGTAATTGCCTGTTAGAAATATGTATTAACATTATTTTTAAATTGTTGAGCTTTACAGTTGTAAGTTCTATATGTTTATAGTTTCAAAATTGCCTTTTTTGTAACTTAAGATCTGAACACATTGAAAACGACGAGCTACAGACTACAGCTGTCAAATTATTTTAACACGTACTCTTATGTAGATACATAATTATTTTGGCAACGACCGGGCTTCGCGACGGCTGTGGTTGTGGCCAGATTAGACTATTTCTATTTTGCCGGCGACAGATAAGGTTCTTCCTCTTATTTTATGTCAAACTCGTCCAAATTCATGATGTCGCTGCCGCGTTCAAAAAAATCATGTCGTCGTCGACAAAGCGTTTAGATAACGAAGATAACAAATTGGTAGCAGGGGCCCGTAGCTCGTCGTTTTCAATGTGTTTAAAATTTAACTATTGAGTAACTGATTAAACTAATAAAACAAAGCACAACTCGATTCAAAAATACTCATTGTTACATATTTATTAAGTTAAAAACTTTAAAACAAGATTATTTATGTAAAATCTAAAGTTACAAAAAAGGCAATTTAAAAAAAAATATAAGCAAGTAGTAGAACTTACAACTGTAAAGATCAATCATTTAAAAATAATTTTAATATCTTTTTGAAACTGGGAATTACAACTTTCAAGATTTTTTAAGCAATTTTGCAACATTAAATAATAATTTTAATTAGTTTACTTAAAATAGGAGAAAAAACTGTAATAATGACATTAGTTTAACTTTAAGTTTGAATAACCGTTAAACCAGTAGATTTATCAAAAAATCATAATAGACGTTTTTTGTATAGCGGCTAATTTCCTACAAAAATATGTATCGTTATTTTTAGTTCGATAAATCATGTACATAAAGTCCATTGCGTCACCTTCGCCGTCACTGTCAGTTGTCAAAAAAGTTGAATCGGTGTATTTGTATGAAGTAACGCTGCAAACCATTTTTTCAGAGTATTCTGAACTGTAGAGAAATGTGTAAGAATTCGTAAAGGTCTTATCCGATTTTTAGTCGAATTTTCTAAAATGAAATTAACTGTGCACACTTCGATTATTTTACGAAATTTCGGAAGAAAATCGGCCAGGCAATGAAAATAAAGCTGCTATGTAAATGATTTCTACCTGATTTCTGATGTGTTCGAATTTTCTTTATTTTTCGTACAGAAACTTCTTTACGAGTTCGTGTCAACCACTTCACATATTACTGAAGATTCGTAAAAAAATCGTTACAGAAATGAGATACTCCTAAAGATTTCCTTAAGATTTCGGGAACTTTGGTTTGCAGGGAAGTCACATGAACAAAGCTGACGGTGACGTTGACGCACAAATTAGCTCAACCCTCAACTTTGCTTATGCGTTTGCGTCAAGTGACAACTATTCTGTGTTGTTTTTACATACATACATACATTTTGAACGTAAATTTTTTTATTTTGTGGAAATTTCGAATTAGTCTAATATACATATGTATATATATGTAGATCCCCTGATAACAGATTTTCAATGGGAATGGAACGATTCGTCTAGTACCCTAAGCTCCACACAGTTGATAACACAAGCAGATTAATTTAAGTACAAAGCGCGTGACTTTTGGATATACAATAATTTAAATATAATGTTTTTCTTCTTCTATTGTGATTTTTTTTTAGAAAAACACCGATCAATAAACTCCAAGCACTCGCAAGTATTCACACATAAAATAAAAATGCCAAACCTTTGGACAGCTCTTACCAGACGAAAAACGGATGATGTTGTGGAAAACGAGTCGAAATTGGCGCGTGTTCTCAATCTATTCGATCTTACTGCGCTCGGTGTGGGAAGCACGCTCGGTCTGGGCGTATACGTGCTAGCCGGTTCAGTTGCATACAACATAGCTGGTCCTGCCGTAACCATATCATTTCTCATTGCTGCTATTGCGTCTGCCTTTGCTGGTATTTGTTATGCCGAATTTGCAGCGCGTGTTCCGAAAGCAGGTTCGGCGTATGTTTACAGTTATGTAACAATTGGCGAATTTGTGGCATTCACCATTGGCTGGAATCTGATATTGGAGTATGTAATTGGTAAGTGATGATATGGTATGGTGATACTTTAAAGTTTAAACCATTTATGTTCTAAATATTTGAATTGATTTCCAATAGGCACCGCTAGTGTTGCTCGCGGGCTGAGTGGATACTTCGATGCGCTGATCAACAAAGCTATGTCTACTGCGCTGGAAGAAGCTTTACCTATCAATGTGAATTTCTTGGCGGATTATCCCGATTTTCTGGCATTCGGTGTGATACTGCTGCTGGCGGCAGTACTTGCATTCGGTGTAAAAGAATCTAGTTTCTTGAATAATATATTCACAGCAGTAAATATGATTACGATTGGAATAGTCCTAGTTGCTGGTGCTATAAATGGTACGTTGCAGTTTGCTGATCATTAAAAAGCCCTCAAGTGCAAAAGTGTAATGAGTTTTTCTTTTTTTTTGTAGCTGATCCTTCGAATTGGACGATACCAAAAGATCAGCTTCCTAGTGGTACGGAGAATTTCGGTAATGGTGGATTTATGCCCTTTGGTATCGCTGGCATTATGGCAGGGGCGGCAAAATGTTTCTTCGGATTTGTAGGCTTCGATTGTATAGCCACTACCGGAGAGGAAGCAATAAATCCCAAACGTAATATTCCCCTTGCCGTGGTTATTTCATTGATCATTATATTCTTATCTTACTTTGGTATTTCCACGGTACTTACGATGATGGTGCCTTATTATAATCTGGTAAGTAAACATATTTCAAGTGTAAATAATTTTCCTATTTCGACACAGAAACCGAATGTCAAAAAGTATTAACTTTGATATTAAAACGGTTTAGTAAAGTTTCTCTGGAGCCGCACTTATAATGTCCAATCTGTTTGTTCATGTTTAAGAAGGTTTCTTAAGTTATACATACGATACACTGAGACTTAGATCTCCTGGAATATGTTTCACCAAATTGCGCTCTTCATTACCAGTTTTGAACAGCTTAACCGGTATTCCACGAGCTCCACGAGCCTCCTTAGTTTTACGGGTTTTTGAACTGCCATCAAATTATAACTTAAGAAAGTTTTATTATATGGCAGTTGAGAAGTGCATGTGCAAAACTTTTAATGAAGCATACATAGCACGCACTTAGGCGCCTGGTATTAGCGGTCGCGATTAAAAAGGAGGGAATGAAAAGGCATTGTCAGCTTCTCATAAGCCTTTCTTCGCTGTACAGGCATCGAGTACATGGTGGTATCGGACGAACACTAGTTGCCACTTATCAATGCCTTTTCATAAACCTACCTTTTCAACTAGAATTTTTCACGCTAAAATAGATGCTAGCTAAATATAAACTACTTATTTTTCAACAAAAAACCTGAAGAAATGGCAACCATATATAGAAGAAAGAAATCAGCTGAGAATGAAAAATCTAAATTCCCATTCTGCGCTACGAGCTACAACTACAGAAAAATTCTGCGGTTTTGAGTTTTCATTTACATGGCGCTCTGGTAAGACAGATCGTGTCAGCTGACTCGGGTTTACGTACCGGTATGTTTATGTTCTTGACTAATTTTACCTTTATGATTGAAAAGTGATTTATTGAAAATATTAAAACAAAATGTAGGGAAACCACAAATTGATCACGCTGGGGAAACACATGGGGAAAAACATTTGTTTCAGCTGCCTTTGCTTCGAATGGTATGATTTTTCATGTCAAATTTTAACAATAAAAGTCGAGTCGTGGTGGAAGTGCGTGGTGTAAGAAAATTGCAATAAATGTAAAGTAGTATGACCTAATAATAATATTTTTCATCTTAGATACTTGCCATCTTCAGTTCAAAAGCACATACCAAGAAATGAACGGTGTGTTACAAAAACATTTTGTGCATGCTAAAGACAGGTTGGAAAAACGAAAACAAACAAGATCATTGCAAGTACACATGACGAAGAACCCGTGCATTTCGTAAAATGGATTTCTTCATTTCAATATTTTTAATTTTTATACACATACGGACAAAAGTATTGGCACAAAGAACTTTCACAATGCGTGCAAAGTTTTTTAGCTCATTTATTTTCGCGAATTTTTTATAAAAATATAGCTAATATTATGACGCAAACTGTAAGATAAAATATACAACTTTCCAAAAAACTCAGGAAAATTTAATAAATTTCCAATGTTTAAACCCTATTTTTGGCATTGATTTTCTTCCATAAAAAGTATGTTCGCCATTTTTTTTTTATGGAAGAGATTGTACTATAATTTGATGGGCTACAAAACTGCATACTCAAAGTCTTTCTAGAAAATCTATTTAAACAGTTGCAAATTCATTGAATTTTTCCAAGTTCTGCATAAAATTTAGAAATTTTTTTTTTTTATCAAAAATTTGCGAAAAGAAATTGGAACAAAAAACTTTGCATACATTGTGGAAAGTTCTCTGTGTCAATTACTTTTATCCGGAAAGGTAATTTTGAAATATTTTCAACTGTAATAAAAGATTTTCTTAAAAACCAATTTCGATATTTCATTAACGCTTCTTTTGAACTCAATAAAATAAGCTGTTTGCTAATTATGAATTAATTTAATATTATCTAGCGCCGGTTATTTAATGTCTGGTTATCACTATCCCCAGTTAAACATTAAACATTATCGACGATTTCGACATCATGCATGGTACAATTATTACAGGTATTGTCTTCCCAGAGAGCGCATATTCCGATCTGCCGTATTTAAAAAATATTGTTGTTGCCCACACTAAAACGTTTACTGCTAGGGAAAAGGGATATTTCCATGCCCTATATACCATATATGTTCACGTATTTTTTTAAACAAACCATCTTGCAGAGAACTTATTTAATTTGCAAAAGCCAGAAAAAAACATTTGCTTGTAAATAAATTCAAAATTTGTATGGCTCACGTCATTTCCAACGTTTTTTCTTTTGTTTTGAAAAACTATAAAAATTAAATTGAGCGAAAACAAAAAGCAAGGCCAAATAAAAGTGAAAGAATCAACATTGAACTGCGTCAAAATGAAAATAAGGCAGCACGAATTTCGATGTGAAGCAGAACTCTCTGGGAAGACAATACCTGTAGTTGTTGTACCATGGACATCATGTACATAACATGTGATCGATAAAGCAGTCGTTGTATTTAACCGGTGCTTCTACCTCCGATTTGTGTCAACCAGACATTGAACAAGCGGCGTTTAATTTTACGCAGCGCAACGGATTTGCAAATATACTGAAAAATGACTCGGTAAAGACTTGAAAATAATTAGAGATATGACTTAAAAATGACTCGAAAAAGGCTCACAAATGTTAACAAAGACTCGAAAATAATTGGAAATAGAACTGAGAAATTACTCGAGAAAAACTCGAAAATGTTTAGAAAAACGACTGAAATATCATTCGAATAAAACTCACAAATGAATATAAATTTGACTCGAAAAAGAATCAAAACTTATCAGAAAAGTGGGTAATAAAAGACTCGCCAAGAAGAGTCGCGGGCAGGATACCATTTCAAAGAAAAAACTAGTATATGATCAATGATTTCAGAAAATGCTGGGTGGGTAATTAAGAAATCTTCTTAACCTTTTGAAAGTGAAAAAGAGTGTGACTCGCTTGTTCTTGCTGCTAGATAAGCATCATTTTTAACAGTGATTCGTTGTTCATTGGAAAATGCATACACATTTACACACAATTAATATTTATCAATGTATGTATATTTATGTCATTATTTTTACAGGATAGAAACGCTCCGTTCCCTAAAGCTTTCGATGAAATTGAATGGTACACTATCAAATGGATTGTCACAATTGGTGCAGTTTTTGCCCTGACGACTAGTTTGTTGGGTGCTATGTTCCCTCTGCCTCGTGTGCTCTATGCCATGGGAAATGATGGCATCCTTTTCAAATCGTTTTCAAAAGTACACAACTATACTCAAACACCTCTATTGGCTACTGCCATATCTGGAATTTTTGCTGGTAAGATATTATAATGCTCAAAGAAGAATCATATACTGCTCATTTATTCCTTAAAGTCGAATAGGAAGCATTATGTCAGTCTAAAGCCAAAATTTTTATCCTAATCCGCTCTTCCTCTCTCTCTGGTTTTAAGCTGTGATGGCGCTAATTTTCAACTTGGAACAATTAATTGATATGATGTCCATTGGCACACTACTTGCTTACACGATAGTTGCGATTTGTGTTCTCGTACTCCGTTACCAAGATGAAGACATGGATATGAAGACAGTTTCCCTCCGGTGTCCAGCAGTTATTCGCCAATTCTTTAACGGCAACTCTTATCGTGAACCAAATGTGCTAACGTCGCGCATCACAAAAATCGGTATTGTAGTCTTTGCTGTTATTTGCATCATTTGGGATGGGATAGAAAGCTTCTATGGAGTTGAGTCCACTACCGGCACAGTAACGTTGAGCATAATCGGAGTAGTGCTCATACTGATCACGATCATCATTGGCATGCAACCGGTCTCCGGTCTAGAGTTGACTTTCAAAGTGCCACTCGTGCCATTCATACCCTGTCTTAGCGTGTTCGTGAATATCTTCTTGATGTTCCAGCTGGACCAACAAACATGGATACGCTTCCTTGTATGGGTGTGTATTGGCTATGCGATTTATTTCTGCTATGGCCTTCGCAACTCTACACAAGTTACCAGAACCGAGAATCATGCGCAAGCGGCGATAAGAATGCAACACACAAATCAGGCATTCGAGCCGGATTGGAAGGTGGAAAATGGAGTTAATGGTGTTCATGGAATCGCGGAAAAACATTAGAAGTTTCGCCAAGAAGGAAGTATGAATTAGACAATGTGAATTGTAAATAAATTGCAATAGGATATTATACATATTATAAAGCTTTCGGAAAAAAAATCGAAAAATATATATACATATAGAAACATCGAACCCTAATCGCCAAAAGATATAAGCGATATTTTTTTAAATCTTTTTTTGATGCAGGAATGCACCTAGATGCTCGAGGAACATTTATGCATCGAAGAGAAAATTTAGAAAAAAATGTCGCCTACATCTTTTTTGCGGTTAAGGCTCGACATGTTGAATAAGTTGAGATGCCACAGCTTCGGCAAGTCATGTGCCTAGATTCTGGGCAAAGAAAGCCGGTTTAAGTCTGTTGGTGCCTTCTGCAACTTGAAAAATGCTTGCAAATGTGTACACATAAAAATTGCTTTAAAAATTGTACTCACTAATGTTATTGATTAATCGTGCTTTAGAGTAAAAATGACAATATTTACTTCAAAAAGTGGTTAATTTTAATATAGGCAGAATTTTTCGAAGAGCTGTGTTATGTACATAAATACTACTGTAGTTCCATCTGTCCAATCATCATCTTATACTAAATGAAAGTATTTGTCAAACAGTTTTAGCTATACATATTCAAATTTTATATACTGTACAAATAATTTTTAATATTTTTTTAGTTTTTACGTTCTTATTATTTGTTTCTTTCTATGTTTATTCGCCTTTTCCACACTTTTTTTCTTCTTTGCTACCATTTTAACTGTATGTATTATCATTTTAACTTTATGTATTTTAAACTATTTTTGTAATAGCTTATTTACTAGTTCTTTCCATAAATGATTTTGATGATAGCCTACAAAAGTGCGAGAGAGATAAATAGATTGCACATAAAAACTAAACGTTGTTCGCAGCTGTCAAATATCTTTAAAGTGGTTCACACTTTGCTGTACAAAATATTTAATTTTATCTTAATATTGTTAATAATTTCGCTAATGTGAGGTTTTAAATTTAAATATTAAAAAAATTAAATAATTGACTGCCAAAATTCACGCGTTGTTTTTATGCGCCCCGTCCACTGTGCAACTTTATTTTTCTGTTTTTACAATTTACATACATACATATATTATTTTACGTTAACATTAGGCGTGGTTTTTTACACGTATACGTATCTGCGCTTAAAAATTGTATGGAGCTCTAAGCGACAAACTTTATGTGCGCTTAGAATAGTTGTCGATAAAATCAAAGTTATCTACTTGTTTTGAAATGGAAATTGTCGATGATTGTTTTTTACACGTTAAGCGTAGATGTATATACGTGTAAAAAAACACGGCTATTTTCTTCTAAACGAAATTAATAGGTTTTATGATCACCCGACTTTTTGTGATATTGTTAATACATACACACATACTATTGTATTTAATTATATGTAGTTCTTACCACTTTTTGTCGCAAAAGTTTTGTAAATAAGTTAAGTCATTTCAATAAATAACTAAATAAGAAAACTAAATAAAAGTATAACACTGAAAGAAGGAAAAACTTATAAAGGAAAATTAAGCTGATTTTAAATATGTATACCCTCAAGTACTGCTGGAGTCAATCGCTACTTTTGAACCGCTACTGCACCGACTCCTAGGTAAGTAGCTACTCTATAATACCATGGTACTAAACATAGTAGTGCAGAGTCGATTCAGTCGTAAGCAGGATAGCGATAAACTACGACAGAGGGCGCCCATAAATCACGCAAGTGACTGCTTTAGTATCCAGTGTTGCCGCGAAGCTTTTTTAGTGGTAGCCAAATTCCTTTAAAAAAAGGGATAAAAAGAGCTAAAAATAGTCGTTGTGGCTAAAAATGGTAGCTAAAATTGTTTACTTACATAATCATATATAAGTATACACGCAAACATTTTCAATAAGTAATGGTATAGATAAACAATGAAATCTGGAAAAAAAGCAAATATTTTATCCAACCTAAAACTTTTTTGTATAATAGGGGAAATATTCGACACCAGGGTGTCCAGATTTTTGAAAAAAGAAGCGCAATTTCTGAAAAGAAATCGCCAAAAATCGCCAATTTTTTTTAATTAATGAAATCGACTTAACAAATCTTTTACTTTAAAACGAGATAGGTTAAAAAAACGAATATAATACCTTCAGGGTATTAATAGATAACACAAATCACTTATATAATAGTGATGTACAAACAGTTTTCTTTAAAAATACGCATACTTTTTAAAAATATTTGTTTCAACACATTTTGCAATAGAACTGCGCAACTATTAAATTGATTATAGCTCGTATTAATTGATTATCGCACAATCCGCTTTTACGCACTCGGCCCTAAAAATTAAATAAAAACCTATAATAAGGCGACACCAGCTATTTCCACAATTTCTTCAAAATCACCTTTAGTGTCTGAATCATTCACATTTGTGTTGTTGTCATATATTGCGCGTTGATAACATACTGTTTTATATTGGAAACGTTTTGCAGCAGAAACTATTAGCCTTCATATACCATTTTATTCGAACTGTGAATCAAGGCTCTCCAACCTCATCATATTTCGAATCTTAGTTTTTGTGGAATTCATTACGGAAAAAAAGCCAACAAAAGCATTTGAGTGCGGCAAGGATAATAATATGACGGCTACTTTACTTATATTTCCAAACATTTTATTGCCTGTTGCGGTTTTCACTCAGTAAGCAATTATCCAAAATTCTTCAGAGTCGGAGGGAATGCAATTATGAAAAAAGTTATTCTATGGCAAAGTTAAAAGAATTAAATATTCAGTTTCCGCTGCATCTTTTTCCCTCAAATTCATTTATGGGCCGATTCTGAACATAAACTGCCTAGGAGTTTTCTCTATTTTACATTTCCTCCTATCACGAATAAAAATTCCCCGAGGATTTTTTATATTAAATGGCGGAATTGAGCTGTCAAAAAAGTGTTAGCTTTTCAAAACAGCAGCTCGAATTTCCTCATCCCAAATTTTCGGGGAAAACACTACGCCCTGAGAGTTAATTATTGGAGGATTTATTTCTCGGGAGAAACAAATTCCCGGAGAACAAAATTCCCGGGAATTTTAACAATTGGGCTGATAGTGAATTGGCATATAGTAAGTATAGTATTGGATAGTGAAACTCGCACTCTTGTGATTCTAACACTTTTCTGGTGACAAATTCAAGCTTTTTTAAAAGTATTTAATTGACTAGGTAATCGTTTCAAAAGCTCTTCGATTAGGGTAATTAAAAATTTTTGATATTCTTTTAATATGCTTGTTAAGTCAAGTTCATCACGCAGTTCATTAGCCTATTTGTAAAATTATCGTGGAAAACTAAGTTTTGTATATTTTTATAATTGGAAACAATTTTTTTTTTGAAGGGAAAAATCGCCAAAAATCGACAACGGCGATTCCCTAAATTTTTACGCGCGAATATTCAAAAAAAACCGCCAAATTGGCACTAAATCGCCAAATCTGGACACTCTGTTCGACACCAGCTTGCTGGCTCGATCAAGTGATTGTACCATCAGGCTCGAAGCATATAACTGACCAGCATGCTGGTACAATATTTATTTCTTTACAAATGAGGTCGAGGAAAGATCGAAATAATTAGAGCCGAAATTTCATAATTTTTCTACCATTTTGTTAAACATTTTTTTTTTTTTTTTAATTCACAACTGCAATATCGTGAACTTAATATTCCACAAACACGGCTTTGACTCATATAATGCAAGAAATTTCCGCCAAAAAATTTTCAAATAGTTTTTGAAGTCGCACCAGCAGCTGGTACAATCACAAGAATATACACGGTCAATCGACTTGATGGGCCATTTAACAAATGAGGCATATTAAGGGCCAGTTTTTTAGTGCACGGCCGTGGCTTAAACTAAGTTAAAACGCCCGATCTGACTGATGTAAACTAAGATCAGCCAATCAAATGTCAGCCAGCTGTTCAATTTGAACTCAGTTTACTTAATCTGAGTTTAAACTGGCACTGAAAAACTGGCCCTAGGGGCTGTAAACTTATCTATTTTAAACTATAGTTAAATCGTTAATAGATAAGTTAAAAAAACAGCCCTAACACTTTTACAGTATGTATGTATAAAAACGTAAGGAACATACAATACATACATGTATATATATCAGTCTTTCTTAGTTAAAAAATTCATCTCTTAAATAAATGCAAACAAATTAGATCAAATTAAACGTATACAACTTTTTCATGCCCAGTATGAATAAATTCTCCAAAGGGCTAAAGAAGGGCTAGGGGCAATTTTAAATTTATGTGGCCAAAAAAGTATGTGGTAGCTAAATTTAGCCACCAAAAGGCTAAAACGGCAACACTGTTAGTAACTCCCGGTAGTGCAGAGAGAGCCAATGGAGACTACCGCCTAGGCCATTGCCTTGTAAAAGTAATCGTTGAAATACACTACAAGTAGTCGGTCGGTAATTGACGGAGTTTACCAAGTAACTACCGTTTCATCAGTCCTGTTGTCGCTCCCCGGTACTGCAGGGTATATACACTAGCCGGCATCGTATGCGCGAGGCTTCGAAACGCGTTGAATTTGTACATATGTATATGTATGTGTGTATGAGAAAAAAGGGGGCAACCCTTTTTAAAAAAAACCCTATTGTACACCTAATGGCGAAGCACTTTTGTTTGATATCTAATATATTTAATGCAACGAACGAACCTTATAATTTTTTAGACGGCGGCAACACTATTAAAAAAAAAATAAACCTGAAGGCCAAATCCTTTCATTTGACAACGAAAAAATAAAATCTTATTGTACATCCGAAGATCCAATTTTTTTAATTTGAATAAACTATGCAAATGTGATGTCATTAACAAAATATGTCTTCACGTATTATACGTGATTATATTATGCAAAGTCTCGTCCAAATCTGTCTAGTAATTTTCGAGATTAATAATAATAACACTGTACAGCATTTGGCTGGGTATTGGACCAAACTGACTTTTTTTAAGTAGTTGACTCATAATTAAACAAGTAATTTCTCCGTTTTTCGAAGTTAGCCTCCGAACCTATGAACCTATGATAAAAAATAATTTTTGTTTTTTTTCGAAAAGGGTTGCCGTCTATACGAAAAATTATAAGATGTGGGCTGTTCGCTGGACTAAAGAAAATTCGTTTGGTAAAATACCCAGAAAAAAGGTCGATTTTGCCGTATAGTGTAATATATTGGCGCTTACTTATACATACATATGTTAGTATTTGGCCGAGCTTCTCCGATTTGTGGCATGCTCCAATATGTTGTCACACAAAGGGGAGGGAGGTACAGTTTTGCGCCGGCTTCGAACGACGATCGTATTTTTAGGAGAAGCTGCTTTTTTATCTTAAGTTGAACCGGGCTTTAGCCCAGGCCCTGGTAGCGCGCACGGCCATTAGCGTTTGGCGTGGTAAAAAAATCTCAATTTTGCTTCATGCTATGTTAGGATAAAGCAGTAATTTTTAATTGAGTGGGAACCCTACTCAAAAAAAGGTTGTTGTGGATACGAAGGCTATGTTCTTTAATTTGGTACCTCATTTTGTTATCCAACGAACAGCGAAGATCTTATAATTTTTAAACAACCCTTCTACAAAAAATACATTTTTGCACATCTAGAGGCTAACGGCTCTATTTTGTATCAGTGATAAATTCTTGTCACAGTTTTTATTACGGAAAAATATATGAACAAGTTGAAATTTGACAGTAAAAAAATTATGTCACCGATGCTATACTTATTTTCGTTGGGTAGTGACGGTGCAGAGTTGGATATCTTCGCTTATTAAGATTGAATATATTCATTTTCTTAACAGTTGGCAGCCCTACTCAAAAAATAAAATATTTATGCTTATCTAGAGGCCAATCCTTTTATTTGACACCTCATTTTTGTAATCCAACGAACTGCGATGATCTTATAATTATTTATGGCTACCCTATAGAAATTCTAAATACCAAAGATCATGCTCCTGTTTATACAGAATATATTAGAGAAAATCTGGTACAAATTCGTTTAGCAGTTTTCGATACAAGCGCATTAAATGAATCTCTACTTACCATTATACTACTTATGTATAGATAAGTTAGAAACTTTTAAATAGGTGGCAACCCTACTAAAAAATAAAAGTTTATGTACATACGCAGGCCATGCTCTATCATTTGGTATCTCATTTTGTTATCCAACGAACAGTAAAGATCTTATAATTTTTAAACAACCCTTCTACAAAAAATGCATCTTTGCACATCTAGAGGCTAACGGCCCCATTCTATATCAGTGACAAATTCTTGTCACAGTTTTTATTTCGAAGTTTATTAACAGGTGGCCATCCTATTCAAAGAAATAAAACATTAGTGATTTTCTAGAGGCGAATCGCTTTCATTTGACGCCTCATCTTTTGTAATCCAACGGACGGTGAGAATCTTATAGATGCTTTCCATTTCCAGACAACCGGTCAGGTACGAGCATGATTTTTAATTTCGACCAAACTCANTTTTTTTTTTAATGTGCCTTGAAGCAAGCTATGCGAGTAAAA